ACTTTACAGGGGAAAAAATGTTCTTATGTAGTATTCTAAAATTTAAGGAGCATCATTGACCATAATATTGCTTAGTTTTCATTCTGCTGTTAAAAACAAGTAAATTGTTTCAAAGTGGGTTTTGTTTGTATGCATAGTGTAAAAGAACTGAATTTTGATTCTTACAGCACTTGATGTGTGCATTTGTATCAAAATTTGCCTACCTCTTTATGAGAGAGGCTTGCTCTTCACACCTCAATTTATTTAATGTGAGGCAAGTTGAAAGACAACATTCCCATTCTAGGTGATTCTGTGGTGCCGTGAAATTTAAAATAATTTTGGGGGGGCCGGCCCGGTGGCGCACTGCTACAGTGCGCTGCTTGGGAGCGCGGTGGCGCTCCCGCCGAAGGTTCGGATCCCACATACAGACCGGTTCCCGCTCACTGGCTGAGCGAGGTGCGGGCCCAACACTGAGGGTTGCGATCCCGTTGCCGGTCCTGGTCCGGTACGGGCGCGACACTGAGGGTTGCGATCCGTTGCCGGACACGAAAAAAGACAAAAAGGAAAAAAAAATAAAATAAAATAATTTTGGGAAAAGGATTAGTCAATTTTAAGCAAGAGTCACATCCCTTGAGCTTTTGATTATCAATGTAGTACCTAACTAAAAATGAGGAAGTAATAATACCCTTAACCATTTATAATTTCTAGTATTTCTCTGAAAGATCATCTTGGGGCAATATAAGTGACTTGATGTGTCCAGTCTCATTTGAGAATAAAAAGCTACCATCTTTAAAAATCTCAAATTGCCTGCTTGCAAATATAAGTAAGGAATACTGTGGGGAAATGATTCCTTTTAGAGCATTACTTTTTTCAATTTTGGTTTTAGTAATCTAGGCCTTGCCTGTAAAGAACAAAAAGATGGTTTTTAAACACTGTTTGTGGAATGTGTTTCAAGGATTGATTCTAGAACCTTTGTATATTTGATAGTATTTCTAACTTTCGTTTCTTTACTGTTTGCAGTTAGTGTTCATGTTCTGCTATGCAATCATTTATATGCACGTTTCTTTAATTTTTTTTAGATTTTTCTTGAATGTATAGTTTAAACAACAAAAAGTCTATTTAAAACTATAGCAGGAGTTTGCAGTTCTAGCAAAGAGGAAAGTTGTAGGGTTAAACTTTGTATTTTCTTTCTTATAGAAGCTTCTAAAAAGGTATTTTTATATGCTCTTTTTAACAAATATTGTGTACGACCTTTAAAACATCGATGTTTGGATCAAAACAAGACCCAGCTTATTTTCTGCTTGCTGTAAATTAAGCAAACATGCTATAATAAAAACAAAATAAAGGAAAAAAAATAGTTTCATTAGAAATTTAAGAAGCAAGGGTTTAGCAAAACAAAAAAACAGAAAATAAAATATGCCAGATGCAAATCAGCCAAATTCTAATATTTTATAACATATTCTCTGCGTGATTTGAATATACTGTATCTTCTTGAACACTTTATTTCCTCAAAAAGTCTGGTTTTATTTCCCCAAAAAGTCTGTAACATTTGTCTAAGAGGCTGAGAGGGCTGACTAATGTTGAAGAAGGTGAAGGAGGATTATAATCTAAGTGGCTATCACTCCCCACAGTTCTTAGAAATGTTGTTGGTTAAATTTTCCTCTTAGGTTCTAGATTCTCCACAAATCACGAAGAAAGGAATTTTGTGAAAGCAATCAAATTACATGCAGAACACGCATGGGTGCACTTGCATGCACACACATGCACACCTACACACAAAAAACTAGACTAGCTGCTAAATCCCTATTGCCATGGCTTCGAAATCATACATGGCATGAGACAGATGTAGAGCTTTCTAGTCATTTTCCTGGGGAACTGTAGAGTATTAATTACTTCACAATTTCCCATTATAATCTCTGTATCATGTGGTGTTCCACTATTAAACAGTTGTTATCCTGCTAACATTCATTCATTTCACCATATTTATTATGCACCTACCATGTACAAGCCAGTGTACTGGATGCTCAGAGGTGAATAATACAGTGATAGCAAACAGAAACTTTTTTCTTATATTCCTTAAGTGAGATTAAGTTACTATATTATTTGGAAGCAGATATACATTATCAAAATTTCCATGATTGTACTTTAAATAAGTTGTAAAAAGTAAAGGGGTAGTGAAAAGTTAGCTATAGATCATTTTTTAAAACTGTCTAGAATAAGTCAATTTTTAAATATAAATTAAAAATTCTGTTAACACTAGTATTTATTAATGACATTATGCTCACATGTCTTCAGAGTCAGAAGGTCCTTCTTTAATGTGCTCATCTTCAATGTCATCTACTTCAAGATTGTCTTGACGAACATCTCCTACAGTGGGAACATCCATCAGGGTTCTGAACAGCTTTGAGAGATCTGGAAGTGAACATGTCCTCAACATCTAAAAAAAGTCAACAGATTTCTTGTTAGGAGTAAGAGAATAAAAAAATAAGAATGAGAGAGAAAGTTATGGCTAATAATAATTTTGTTATTTTATACTTATAAATCATATATTTAGAGCTAGAGGACTCAAAGGTGATTTGCCCAAGGTTAGAACCTAAATCTCTTTAATTTCCAACTCAGTATTTTTTTCACAGAGGAAACTAAACTTGTGAGTTATGCTTGGGTTTTGACAAATGGGAATTCACTTTAGTCACCCTTAAAAGGTGAGGAGAGGTGTTTATTTAGGTATATAATGGAATGGAATTGGAAATCTGTCAGAAATCAGGCAGGGCTATAAACTGCCTATTCTTTCCTTCTCACTCATCGCCCATATTGTTCTTTTTTCATGATATTTCTGCTAAGTGTTCCTTTCATCTTCCTATGGTCAACTCTCCCCATATAGTCTTGCCCAGATATGAGTTAGTGAGAAGCTTGGCTAAGTACCATCACACATAATTGGTGGACATTTGTTTCACTTAATCATAGAAGTTGCTGGCTAGCCAACACTGGCAAAATCAGGGGCTTTAAATCAGTGCAAAGAAGTCTAACATTCCTTCTATGAACATGGAACTGTGAGTGGAGACTCTCCCCGTAGAACAGAAGGCTGGAAGGACAAGCACTTTGATGTCAATGCTGAGAATCATTTATTACAGCAGTGAGAAGGAACTCAGTCAACTGAATTGAGAAAAAACTATGTACAGCTGAGGTGCTGAAAATCTGAATTTGTGTTAGATAAGACCAGGGGTAATAGGAATAGCCTCTGCCCATCAACCTTTCAGCAATTAGAATGTAATGGATAGACAGAGCTATGAAACAGATAAGCATATACATAAGTCTCTGGGCTGAATTAACCCTAAAGGAATTTGAAATATGACTACTAAGGCACTGATAAGAACCATTCACCAGATGGGAGACTGAGAAAAACACGTTTAACATATTAATGAAAATTTATATAGTTGGCCAATTTTATTGGTACAATCTGTCTTTGAGAATAATAAAAGAGGAAAGATTTCCATTATTTGAACATAATTTACATATTATAGCACTTAAGGGGGAAAAATGGTTATGACTACCATTTGGTGAAGTTGGTAAAGATACACTGCTTGTTAAAGCACTTAATAATGGTACCGAAAATATTTCTTTTGCTGAATTTCCCACTGCCAGCAGAATTTACACTTGACTTGTTTATTATTTTAATGGCTTGAGCCAAGTTTATCATAAACAAGCAATACATAAAATAGGCACCCAGTAAAGGTTTTCTCAGGTACCTGCTAATCAATAAATATGCAGCACACATGCATTATGTATCTAAACATGTGGAGAGTACAGAAAATGATGTAATATTTTTTAGGCTTAGATAAATTTTAGCTAGCCCTGGTAAAATATTCTCAATTCTAGTTTATTCCTTTCACTAATTAAAATAACTTTCATAATAGCATAAAATAATACAGTTAGAAATTTCAAGTGGTCATGGAATTTGATAATCTGCCTCTTGGAATGGGTTTACACCCACCCACCGATCTGACAACTATCAGTTGGAAAACCCTTTATGTTTCCACTCCTCCTTGACAGACTATTAAGTTTTTTTTTTTTTTTCCTTTTTGTTTTTTTTTGTGTCCGGCAACGGACCGCAACCCTCAGTGTTGCGCCCGTACCAGACCGGCAACTGGATCGCAACCCTCGGCGTTGCGCCCGCACCTTGCTCAGCCAGTGAGCGGCCAGTCTGTATGTGGGATCCGAACCCTCGGCGGGAGAACCAAGCGGCGCACTGTAGCAGTGCGCCACCGGGCCGGCCCAGACTATTAAATTTTAAATAGGATATTCATTGCTACCTAAAAAACTTTTATATAAGAACATTTTCAGTTCTATAATTCTGATTCTACTGTTCTTTTCATGTTATTTAAACAATTTTCTATAATTTTAGCATCCGCAGAAAGAAATCCTCCTGAAACAGCAGCTCATCCACAACAGATTGCTTGAGATCTTTCTTCATTTATATTAGTTTTTTTCTAGATTCTTTGTACCACGATAATTTACATAGATAGTATTTGGTACCAATATAAAATCAAACAGGAGAGCAATGTTTTAGGAAAGCAATGTTTTAGAAAACCTTAAAACATTTTTCTTAAATGTATGTTTTCCTTTAGTTTTGTTGTTGCTTAGTTCCATTTTTCTCAAAAAAGAGAAACACAAAATATAGTGAATAAATTAAGTACTAGCTGCATTAATAGAACTTCACATCAAGTTCTACTTAAAATAATTCTGTTAACTAACTTTTTCATCCTTAGTATTTTTCTTTTTAAAAAATTTTTTAAAAAAAAATTTTTCAAAAAGATGACCAGTAAGGGGATCTTAACCCTTGACTTGGTGTTGTCAGCACCATGCTCACCCAGTGAGCTAACCAGCCATCCCTATATGGGATCCGAACCCGTGGCCTTGGTGTTATCAGCACCACACTCTCCTGAGTGAGCCACAGGCCGGCCCCATCCTTAGTATTTTTCATATAAAATTATAAATTAGTAATACTTTAGTTATACTATGAAATGGTTTATCATGGGCACATTTGCTTAGCCTATGTTTACTGCAATAAAACTAAAAGACTGCTCCCTACAAACAGCAAATATTTGTTCATTTCAACGCATAAATCAGGTTAAAAATAGATTTAAAACATTGATTTAAAAGTTATGAAAATTATCTAAGAACAGATATTTTAGCAAATCAGAAGAAAACATTTAAGGCCCATGTGTTACTTGTGAATTGTATGTTAATTGTTTTTTTTCCCACTTTGCATTTGCTATAAGAAGAAAGGGAATTCTCAAGTTTTCACAGAAGAGATCATTTTTCACTCCAATCCCCAGAAGGGAAAAGTATTGGCAGAACACATCTGGTCTCCCTCCATCCCTAAAGTGAGGAAGAATGAATTGATTCAAGGCAAACTTGAGAGAAGGCAAGGGTAATAAAGTATGCACATTTCCTATTCTTTTTCTCAGATCTGCCTGCCATGAAGTGCCCACATCCTGCTTCCCTTCTGCTGCCTTGTGGTGAGCACACAGAGGTCAGGCCTGGGGACTGCCTGCTAGGGGCAAGCTGGGTCTAACTCTCAGTCTCCCTGCTACTACAGCTTGATGGGTACAAAGCTCTGATTGTGGGTTAAGGAAGTTTGTTCTGCATACTCCATGGCTGTCCCAAGGACTAGTCATTGGAGAAAAATACCGAGAGGTACAATTTTGGGTCAAATTTAAGCAACATTTTTCAGTCCAGCTTTATCACAAATAAAACTGATACAATCCTCATCTGACTGATTCTTCTGACATTTTCTTAACTGGTGGCAAATGTAAAATGGAGTTAAGATGTAATTATCTACCTCAACCTCTTTGAGGTTTCACGGGATTATAAATTAATTGGATACTGAAAATTTTATAATTTAAAAAATTTTGATTGGAACAAATATATTGATAATTTCTCTTTATAAAATCATAACAAATGCAAAGATTTGACTTGAATCTTTACAAGCATATGTGGGGCTGGCTAGTTAGCTCAGCTGGTTAGCGTGCAGCCTTATAACACCAAGGTCATGGGTTCGGTTCCCCATACTGGCCAGCTGCCAAAAAACAAACAAACAAACAAACAAAAGCCAAAAACAAGTATATGTGGCTTTGTAGACCATTCACTACATTATGACAGCATGCAACCCAACTAGGAGCAAACTCTGAGGAATAACTTTTGTACCTAAAGACTAGTTGCTCCTAATAAGGAGAAGAAATGGAGCTTATGCAAACAACTCTCTCTACCAGCCTTGCCTCAGTTATTCCAAGTTATTTATCATCATCTAATATGCAATGTATTTTGTTTTATCATTTACATTCTCAAATTAGAATATAAGCTTCATGAGCACAGTATTTTTGTCTGTTTTACTCAATATTATAAGTTCAGCATTTAGAATGGTACCTGGCATACACAGCAGATATTTAATAGATATTTGTTGACTAAATGAATCTGCTTACAATAGCCTGACTCAGAGTGAGAAGCTGGAGGTAGAGTGAGGGGATGGAGGGATTTGGAGGCAGAGGCTCCACAAACACAAATTCATCCTGTAGCCACTTGTGAGGACAAACAAACATCCTTAACAAGTTTGTACTTTAAAATAAACAGCTGTTCTTTAGAGAAGAATAGAACACCGTAACACTGGCTTTACATTGCTTATCACCTTTTTATTACCTTTGTTTCTTCTGAAGGTAGAATAGAGTTTTTCCAGACTGATTTATACTTTTAAAAGCCTCAGTATAAAAGGCTTTTAATCAAAACTCATCACCGATGAATTCTCCCTAACAGGACAGAGAAAAGGAGAGCTATGTGGTAGAGAATAAACCTTAAACAATGCTTCAGCACTAACTTCTACTGTTGGACTTCTTTGCCTAAACTTTGTCAACATAAAGTTATATTTGGTAAGGTATAAAGGAATAATGTATAAGAAGTCTCTAACTGATGCATATATTCTACCCATAGATTATTTACATTTGTTAAATGCTGAGGATATAATAAAGTGATTGAAAATATATCCAGTCCTTGCCTTACAAAACTTGCAGGGTAGAAAAATACTTTGACTCTGGAAATTCTGAACCTAGAGAGGTTATCACCACAAGATCAGAAAACAGTTGTAGCAATAGAAAGGATAAAGGCATTATGTAAATTTCATGGACCATGGGTCTCTGCTGGAATGAGACTGAAGGGTAGGGCACGGGGGAGTGGGGAGGAGGAGAGAGAAAGAGATTTTGAGACTGAATGTCTCTTCAATGGAGTTCACTGAATGAACAAATATAAGGACCCAAAGTTTTCAAAGACTGTTCTGATCTGTGGGCTATAAACTTTGCCAATTTGTTCATCCACTGTTCATAACACTATAGCTGTGTGGTGTTAGTTTAATTTACTTAATTTATTTTTAAAAAGCAACTCTCTACT